GTCATTAGGTCAAGGCTACGCACGCAAACACGTTTAATATATATCTTCAGACGAATGTGTTACAACACGAACAGGGTTACCATGTTTGTATCGTTGCAGGCTCGGTTGATCACACTAATTGAAGAAAATATTTTTTACCATAAAATTCACATACAGATTACGAATATGACTGACTTGTTGTTCTTGTGGTTAAGCTCGATTGCTGATTGTAAGGTCACGGGTTCGAATCGCGGGTCGGGCTAAAAAATCAGGTATTGAGTGTTTCCGTTAAGAAATTCTCAGAGTCTTCAGCAGCTACACGGAGTCAGTAAATTGGCAGTGTCTCACCACCGTGCCTCGGTCGTGTCGGATTACTAATAAATCTCTAAAATTTTTCTATCCATAATTGATGTGCAGACCGAATTTAGGTTATAGGAACCAGCTTTAACGGAGACCAGCCATCGACGCAGGACGGGATTATTGTGCCCAAGTGTGTTAACGAATACAGGTGCACTCTCTATTCCCTTTCACTTACAATCCGATGGACGGTAGTCCGACACGAACGGAGAAAGATCAGACGCGAGACCAATGGCTTTACGTTCGCCGTCAACTTTCTGACTCCGGGCTGCTACTGAGAATTTCTTGACACAATTATTCAATAATTGATTTTGGCCTGACCCTGGTCTTGAACCACGGACTTTATGATCAGAAATACGATTACGACCATTTGACCAATGAATCAGGCTTAAATTGTATTGGCTGTAGCTGCTGCAGACTGCAGTAGCCACTGTGACAGGTTAGATAACATACCATTAGATGGAACGTTATTTAGCCTATCACACTAATATTGTAAAAACTACATTCGTCAGAGCCCTTTTTGGTTTTAAACAGTTATGAAGTAAAATTTAGAATAAGTTATTTACTCGTAAATTAAATATTTGTAATTAATTATTACAAACAGTTTGATTTGAAATTAATGATTATGCATATTATGAATAAAATACACGTGAAAAAAAAAATGCACGCGAAAAGGGCTTTCGTAATTTTTAACATTTTAAATAATTTATGGTTGTATTTTTATGATACGACTAAGTAAATAAAATGTAAGTAGATTAAAAAAATGTAGATCGAATAGGGGAAGATTTGGCCAACGGCATCAAAGGGCGTACTTAAGGTCCACTTTTAATCCTATTCTGTTTATGAAAGGTTCAATAAAACATAATAAAAAAATTCATTTTCTTGTTTTTTGTTCAGACCGGAAAGGGATTTGTCTGGCATATTAATTCCCAAATCCATGTCCATCTAGGTCGTAATTTATTGTCACCCTAATGATTTGTTTCAACACACTTTGAAATATTTAAAACAATTCCAATAACTCACCTTCGATTTGTAGACAATATAATATTTATGGCAGAATCGCTGGATGACCTACTATGCTCAGTGACCCCAATAATGTCATCAACGAATAGGTCTTAAATTGAACATTGTTTGTCTTGTCCACGTACAACATGTGAATTAGATTTATTAAACATTTATTACAATTTTATATCAAATGCTTATGATGAAATATAAGGTATATTTTTGTCTGTCGAAAAAAAATTTGCGGTCAAGGTCGTATTGAAGTAGCGGTGTTCATGATTAAGCTTTCACGATTTCGATGCTCCCTTCTACGTCTACCGAAACTGACCGCAACCGGCAAAACCCGTTTTATGACAAATCAAATATTATTGATTGCTTTTAACAAGCATTCAAAATGCTGTTTTATATTATAACAAATTGATGTTGTGTTCAAAATATCAAAATATTTTAGTTAATAACGATAAAGCTAATGTTGTTTAAAAATAGAACTTTTACACCAAAGTTAGTAAACATCTAATACACGTAACATTTGTATGTTATGAAAATTTTACATCTAATAAAAGGCATCGAGATTCAATTTAACCTTTGATAAGATTGTTTTTTTCGTTTTTACACAGTTGAAAAAATCCCTTATTGTTCGTATTGATATTTTAATTATAAAATGCAGCCTACATGAGTCTAACGATATTTCGCATTTCAAAATTTCAATACGTAGTCGATGCATTTAGGCTTGGGTTTAGGAGGGCGCAAATAAAAAGTTATATATACATACAATACATCTACATACATACACACGAAAAAAGATAAGGTACGTTATTACAATATATAAGTGTTCTACATTAGCACTGCTGTCCTACTCTATAACGTTATTGCGAAAAATTTAACCTTGTTCAAACTGACACACCCTCTTGAGATTTTACGTGATTATAAATCTTACAACAAACTTGCACAAGATCTTCGCGTAAAGTCTTTACCGTGTTATATCCAGCCAAATTTTTTGAAGGTCTATTAGAAACCAAATATTGGCACGAGTGATTATGATAGTGCCAAATAGCTTTTTGTTGTGTAATAAAAATTCTTAGTTAGTTAAAAAGTTTAGTTGAAATATGATACAACAAAACATATTTTTAGTAGGTTTAGCATAATACTGGGCCAGTTTCAAGCATTTGCCCGATCCGGCGCGAACTACTTCGAACGAAAACGTAAACGAAAACTACCTAAAGACGACTGAAAATTAAAAAAAAACATCCGAGTGAAAATGACGATTGTGGTGCTGCAACATCGAATTATTTCGATTCTATGGCAGCAAAAATCGTAATCGATAACTCTATGATATTACACACAGGGGCAGTTCACACATTCCGTTTATATGATTATATTTACCGACGATACGGTTTATCTTTGAGGCTAAATAGATCGAAGCGATCATCGTACACAACACACACCTATTTCAGATCGGGAGTAGGAAGAATCATGAGAGGTTTAGATAGTTTGGGTATAACCAACATAAAAAATCGAATGATTTTTGAAGTTACTCTAAAAATGCAATATTAACGGCTAAATAATCAAACGCTAAGATGTCGTTAAATCTCGTGGTGTCGCAGTCGCTTTGACTTAAAGTGATAAGAGACAGTACGAGACTTAATGGTATCTTATTTTACCGTAATTATTTTTCTCGCAGTTTTGACAAACACACACGCGCACACATACACACACAAAAACACACCATGTGTTTGTGTGTAACTGATTTATAAGAAACTGCTCTATCATAATGGATAGAATTTTGTTTTTCTTGTGTGTAAATAGGCGTTATTCCTGAGAAAGATGTAGTACAATGTAATAAGTTTTTATTCCAATCGCCTCCAGCCATGTTATTAAGGTTATTTATTTTTAAATTAAAACCTATATGTACCGAGTACCGATCCTCTTTTTTTTTAGTTTACGACTGTATCTAGGTGTTTCGAGGACACGCTACCTAGCTGGTTTGTATTAGATGCAAAGTTTGTCTATACAAATCACTCTGTGCTGGCAGGTTGTTGGCCAATAACACTAATATATATGTACATATTGTGTCGCTACTGAATAATTAAGACGTGGCGAAGAATCAGTCGCGAGTGAGCGTTAAATAGAGCGTATGGATGACTAAGAAAACTTACTATACATTTAAGTATTTTTCATTATCGTTTTTAAAAAAAGCATGGGTTACAAACGACCACGTAGTCCACCTGATAGTCAGTAGCCACAGTATCCGGCTCACATATTTTCACGTCTAACTACGACCCAAAATCCAGACGCATTTACATCTCTAAGGACAAATATAAGGTATAGTATAATCGCTTGCCACCTTCACTTATGTAAAAACATAATTACATATTTCATAACTAAAATACTAGTCATATGTTTAGGAGCCGGTCTGCAAGATAAACCGTACTGTACCGTTACTCTTTCCGTATCGGCATCTCACTCTTACGCCCTCACGGCCCTCAGACTCTGGAACGACATCCCTTTTGACATTAAAAAAGCTCCCTACAAGTTTTTTTTTTAAATAAAGTCCGTATGTATGTGGAAAAATAGTTGCAAGTTTGAACTAACGCAGCTCTTATTTTCATATATATTTCATATTTGTTCTGACAGATAATACATGTTTAAATGTATTATGTATATATTGTAGGTTTTTAATTATATGTTTATATACAATATGTAACGTAATTAACGCATTTTGAGAAAGTAATTTGTTCAGAATCGTTTACTGAATCGATTCCTATAATTTTAATATAGGTAATTTTTTATCCCAAAAATAATTAAAACTACGTGAATTAGAGTCACACTAAATCTGTACAGTCAAAACAAACTGAAACGGACCGTAACTTAAGGCAATAAGACTTTTAAGAGTGCAGTTTTATTTGTATTATTACTAATTTTGTCATTCAATAAAAATAAAGATAAATGAACTTTATTTCAAGCATGCACAACATTCTTCTGGAATTAGTGTAACTAATTTGATAAATAATCAGTGCATAAAAATGCTTAACTAAAAATTCAGTGTATGTATTATGATTATAACATAATATACTAATCGGGGTGTCTGAGGGTGTGCGTTAATTACGTTACATATTGTATATAATTTTACTATTTATCGCCCCTTTCTATCTCGATTACCGCTGCACTGCCTTTTATATATCTATCTCTTTAGCCTAACGCTTAACTGGGAGAGAATACATAAGGCATTAAGTGTAAATAAACATATACAAAGACATAACGTATTACATATTAATATTAAAATACTAGTAAATTAATTGACACTATCGCTATATATTGGTATAACAATTAAAAATTGCATATATTTTATTGGATAGTTCAAGAGGACTCATTACATAAGCAAAATAACAAGTAGTTTTTATGGGGGTAGGCGAATTAACTTGAAATGGATTATGTAAATATACACGTTGCCATGTGTCTAGGTAAGTTGCTTTCGCACTACCACAAATGTTGTTGTTTTGAAATTAATCTCGCAGAAACCCTGAGCATAGTATTGCGATAAAATATCATTTCGGTGTTACAATTGTCACTCTTATTCCGTAAAAAAAATGTATTTCTTCTGTCTCCACCATATCGGTGAAGAAACAAGTAAGATTACTCCTAATCGAGTTCTTGCGCAAACTTTATAGCACTGTGAGCGCTCGACATTGAAGTTTTTTTGAACTGTCAACATTATGCGGAGACTGTCCACCGAGTAACTTGATAGGTAGTGTACAAATGTATTCTAACTCAAGTGTTCCTGGATAATAAATACAAGGGTACTTACTGACACAGGTTCAGAATGTTTAGAAAGTGATCTTTTAGTTATTTAATTTAATAGAAGAAAAGCAAAAAGTGAAGGTAAATGCAGTAATAGAACAAAAATCGTTTTAATTCTTTTAGTAGCGGCGTCATAAAATCGACTTCACCATATCACCCGCGTGTGTTGAGGCAACGGAGGGAAATGAAAAAGAATATCTTACGGATAACAACTCAAAATTTTCATAAAACTGCGATTGTCAACCCTTCTTCCAAGCAATGCGTGGGAAAGGACTTTGTTCCGCAATGGACCTTAATATTGAATGAGTGAACATTAACTTAAACCGCGATAGTATGAGGGATAAACGCTCTTCTCAAAACTTCATAATAATCGGCGGCATAGAGTAATACGGGCCACCGCCGGACCGAGGGGAGTAGCGATACGGAATTATCTGCCATTTTCGCTGGGGTAATCTGCGTCGGCTCATAAAAACAATTATCGTCTATCACTACGAAACCCACACAAATACAAAAAACAAAACTCATACACTAAAACAATAAATTAACAATTGTACTTACACATAGATAATATATAACAGTATCGCTTGGTGACAGCGATAACTCAGATACAGACTCGGATCAGTCGCTCGACCGATCTGCATATCGTCATACCACATGCCGACTGGTCGAGCGAGCGGACCGTGTTGGTAAGTAAATCCGAAACAACACGACGGTAATTATTAAGTTTGAAAAGAAGTAAATACCAATAATGTGATTAAAATTGTATATATATTAACGTTAACGCCATCTATTTATAAATTTGACGTGGCAGATCTCTTTTTACAGCCAAAAATGGAACAATTCGACATTTTTGCTGGCCGTTGATTTAGCCGCGCAACTAGATTTTGTATAGTGAGCACTTCGATCAACAATACCAACTAGATAACGGGTCACGTACAAAATCATAGCTAAATACTGTTCGTATGAATATAAACTATGAAAAGACATAAATTAAATAACATTTAGTGTGAAATCAACCTTAAGTTATAACACATTAAGTTCTTTTTCCCGTTATTGCCTTGCGAGCTACACTCTCACGTGCAAGAGCTCACGTCTCATGTGCGCTCTTATTTACTGAGATGGATTTCTTGCGCCGACCCGACATCTAGTTGGTATTGTTGATCGAAGGTATGGCTACTCCCCCTCTGATCCGCCGATGGCTTGTGTTGCTCTGTGCTCGGCGAAGGAAACATCTAATATCTTACAAGTTTGAGAAATTAAAACATTTTAAGAAATTGTGAAGTATTAAAATAGCAGTACAAACTTATGCGACAACGGCACTCGGTTTCAAACTATGAACGTGTGTACGTTACTTCTTTATATGCGACAATAATATTGAGCAATTACATTTCATATTTTATTATTGTTCTAAACTGTTATTGCTTTATTAAAGAAAAATACAATTCACAACTTGGAAACAAATCAAAAAACGTATTTAAAAAATATAAAAATAATAAATTATAAATAGTAGGTATTATTATAACAATGTCGTACTCCCCGTTACGAAGCAATTAAACATTGTTACGACAACAGAGATAAAAAGTTACTAAATTAGTGTAAACAGTAAAAAAATTCTGGTTTACAGAAACAAAGAACAATATATGTAAAATTTATAGGTTACTTCAATATATCTTTTGATTAATATTTCTTTAAAAATGTTTTTTAAGAGTTTTTATCTGGATAAGAATGGTTAAGAAAAGCAATTAAGAGTCTATTGTTTGACGATGTACATGTTTAGACAAATCCATATATTATAATATACCAATATTGGTTTTAATAAGAATATAAATTTGACATTATATTACATACATTGTAAAAGGTGTTTGGTTAAGTGTGACTTGATAGTATTATATTTCGTTGTATGTATTCCTTTGACTTTAAATTGTAAAAACCTTTTTATATTTCACCTATAAAATACGAGACAAATTGTCGTAAAAAGTTAGTAACTCCGCTTAAGTGAACGCATTTGATGGTTGCACGAATGTGACTGCGGTAAATTTTTAATAGACCACGTATTTTTTTAGGCTTATATTCTCTTCATAATTATTACCAATTACTTATAAAGCGCTCGCTCAAGTTTGTTCTCTCAAAGTTCGATCCCCGCCGGCATCAATGAAATTGTTAATTGCATTCTTTACTGCTAAATTACCACGTGAACTGTGGTGAAGGAAAACAGCGTAATGCAACTAGCACGTCTGAGAAATAAAAACATTTCGAGGACATGTGGAGTCCGCCAACACGCTCGAGCAGCGTGGTGGACTTATAAATTAAAAACTCTATAACCTTTTCAGAAATGAGAGGTCTGCGCCAAATAATGGGACGTTACAGGCCGTAACTTCAACTTGATTTAATAAAAATGTAAAAGATGTAAAAAAATTAAATTTAAATAAAACATAACATACTTAAACATAAACTCTCACGCCTGTCACGCATAGGAGTAGATGAAGACTAGGGACTTTCATTTGGCACGATCCTGACACACCTCTCCTGCTACCATATTATATCTACGTGCTCGTCGGTTAACTTTACTCTTAACTTGGATTATCTTACATATGTCGCTGATTTGTTCGATTAACTTGAACTCTTAACTTGGCCCGTCGTTCATATATTGCCAATTTGGTCTATAAGCTTCCGACTAGGAAGTCGAGTGCCTTGTCGACTCTGCCGCTATTTCTGCACCATAAATTTCTTTTATCACTCTTTCTTCATTCATTCTTTTTAAGTTTCGTTATATTATCGTTTCTAAAATATTTGTGGCACAGGAAAAAAACACTGCGCATTTAAATATTTAATTCTTTGTCGAAAGAAATTAATGTTCGAGAATTGGTTAAACACATGTAATTTTTCTAATTCTACTACCGTTTTGAAATTAGGTTACATTGTCAAAGCTCACCACCTCAAAAGCCCCAGATATTTCTAGATAATAAAAGTCCGGGTAAATCAGGGCTTATAATTTTTCTGACATTACTCGTATCATAAATAAATTGAATACATCTAAGTTTAACTAACTTGAACCGGTTGCACCTAGTTGTAGCCATCTAAACATTGTTTAAATTTTAAACAATGTTTTTTTAAACAATGTTTAGATGGTATTAAAAAAATAGCACCTTAAATAAAATTATTCGTCCAGCAACCCGGATAGCAAAATTTTGTATTTATTCTACTGTACTTCCACGTGAATTAGTAGTGTAATCTGCAGCACGACTGATTTACGATGTTTTTAAATTATTTATGCATAATTTAAAAGAAATTATAGTAAACACATACGTTTACCTACGTATGAAAGAATACACAAATAGGACTTAACCGAAATTTTTAAGAGAGACTATCAAGTCCGTCATGTTAAAAAAACTTTCTTGAAAACGTTTTATGAAATTGATTAAATTCTCTAGAGAGGAACGGTTAAAATAATCACCACGACAGTCCATCACCAGTCCACTGTTGCACATAGTCTTATTTCATAAGTTCACAATTCGCACGATTGGTTGGTTTAGCTACGAGTAGTGTTTCACCCCAAAAAGTAAACATATTTTGTAAACACAAAACGATTACTAAATTTACAATTAAATATCATCGATAAATACGCGAATATTTTGATCATTGAGGAAGTATACTAGTATAGTAATAGTATAGTAATAATACTAGTATAGTAATAAGTTAATAATGTTATATTAAAATGTGGTTGATTCTTATTTAGTTAATATTAATTTAATAAATTTATCTAAACATAACCAAATCAAATCAAAATATCATACACACAAAAATATAAATAAAAATAAACAAGTTATACAGGTTAACGCTCATCTAATAAAATATAAACTAATCAATTGCCTGACCATAGTCGTAAATGAAAAATAATGTGTCGGTTTGGCTATTTAGTTTTTGTTTGCTATTACATTGTTATTTTGTTCTTCTTAAATTTTAGAAGCTAATAACTAAACCGGAGTTATATACTAAAATTAAATAACTAAAATACTAAAATGTATATGTTAAAAAATTGTGATTTAGATAGAGATACCTTTAGGTAACTTACTCATGTGCGTGCTACGAAAGTTGCTAATCGATTTAGTAAAAATCAACTTCGTGCACATGCACATCATTATAGTTTTATCTTGTCATTATACAAAAAGGAATTTGGACTATATGATTTTTAAATTGTATTAAACATCTCTTATTTATGCCGACACTAATGAAAAATGTAAAACAGAGAAATTCGTTAAAGAATTATGCTTTGAAAATCTCCTAAAATTAATAACTTAAAGTGGGACATTTGTAAGAAACCCGCAAAAGCTAAAATGTCAAATTACACACAGTCACAGATTATACATAATAAATGTGTATCGGGCACATATTATGCGTTCAAAAATACAAAACTCTCACTATCAGGTAACAGTTGCGAAAGCCAAGGTCAGGTGTGTGTGTCTCAACTCACCCCAAGGCCGGTCGAAGGTCACGCGCAGTGGACTGGCTCAATTGGTACCGTAGCTCGTTCACTACTGAGAGTCGCGCCGGCGCAGCCGAGCGATTTCACAACCCTGGTATATAGTGGTGTCTTAATATTTCGCAGTGACTATAAATTGGTTGAGGCAGATCGAAACAAAACTTAAATTGACAGTGTTTGAGAGTTATTACAAGCACGAGAATATATAAGAGCTAATTTCATATTCAAATGAGGTACATAATGTTAATGATTTCTTATATTTTCGTGAATACGCCACATCGAAAAAAAAGAAACTATTTACTTAGATATTTCATGGTAGAGCCATGCTGCAGTTACATTAGATGTATAATTGTAGCACGAATGGGTGTCCGGGGAAGGACCACGCTCTCACAGAATACCAACGTGAAATAGTAGCTTAATGCTGCTGTACTTCGTATGATGAGTGTAGAGAACCGGAGACCCTTTTTACTGGAAACGAGGCATTCCATTTTCGTCCTCAA